TTTCGCCAAATGTTCGTGAACGGGCACCGTCGATTGGAACTGGTCAGCTCCAGACTGTATCATTTTATTTTATTATCCTCAAGGTTATTTTCTTTTCCAGTCTTTCTGACTGGATTTGGGTGTTGCATTGTTCTCACATAATCGAACCAATAAAACTATGTAACTAGAGAATTGTATTGTAAACCTGATTGAAAAAGAGTAACCTATGGAGTTTCTTGCTCGTTCTTCTCCATAGGAATCTACGCCTTGGAATGAGCAACTAGCTTCACTTATAAATTTTTGTTGTTTGACGTTCAAAAGTGCCATCCTGGTCTAATTGAAATAAATGATTTTGACTTTGACTTTGACTTTGTATTGTTCACATGGAAACAGCAGTTCTTCTCCAGCGTTAGTGACAAAAAGATGATCACTAAATTATCACATTTCTAATGACGTTGTGACGTCACATGTGTCATTACTTCGTCTCATCACACTGATGTCTGTCACATTCGCCTCGTCACGGTCGGTGCCGGCAAACTACATCGTGGTTACTTCATTACCATCGTCACAATGCGTGACGGCATTGATCTGATACACTGCAATTCAATCAAATTGTGTTTTATTGGTGAGTTGTTCTCTTATCAATAGTGGGTTTTTTTCATATAAACTCTATAACTACGCCTGCCTGAATAAGCGTTCTTCCCTCCGTTTTTACTGTTCAGTTCTATCACTCAATCAACATTCGATCCCTAAATATTAGATTCGGATCCTCCATTACATGCGACTTACCTAGGTATAAACAGATAACGTTACTAGAACTGGACAACCATTACTTCTTACAAAGATCAGAGACGAGGCATAAAGGTGTATTTACCATTTCATTCCCGAAATATTATAACATATTTGTAAAAAAGTTTTACATCTCTCACCATACCATTACGGAAAACCTTAATAAATACCTACTCGTATTTTGGTCATGCCACTACCATTATTGTTTCTCTATTTTTTTTATTAGTGGTAAGCCTGTCAATTTAATAGGACAATAGCCATGCATTGAACGTTCTTTAACACCTCTATGACGTCAGCCTACGTCACATAGTCACGGTCAAGGGTAAGCACAATACAATGACGTCACAACTAACCAGAACGAGACTAATTCATTAGATACATTAGGTATTATAATTATTGTGTAATGAAAAGGAACCCGATTTGTATCGGTTTATTGATACGGTTCATTAATTTGTGTAGTAACACTGACTTTTTGACCTATGAAAGGTCATAACGATCATAGATTGGTCAGGTTTGAACAAAATCATTCATTACTACCTCGTAATTGAGTATAAATTTACTTATATCATTTAGGTCTAGGAATCTGGATTAGAATTCGTCAGTAATGTATTTGTTTTTTATTATTATTACACCCCAAATTGGTTTCGTTATTAAATACGTAACATATTTTCTCAGTGATACCTATGTAAGTTTTAAAAACTAGTAAAATATTGTAGTATCTTGACTAAGGCAAATACAGGCATTCATATTGTAGACAGGTTTAAACAAATTAAATTTTGTTAGAAGCATAATTACTTGGCACGTTTCGTTAATTAGTTAGACAATGTAAAATACTGAAACATGAATACAAATATTCCTACACAGAACTATAACATATTTCTTTGACTTTTCTCCGGTATATAACCTTTAAATCACAAGGTTAGTTTCGGAGTATATTTTCGAATTCGCACAAAAACTTTCGTGACCAAATCATTTGAATATACCTACCTAATTGAAACTGTAATTTATTTATGGAAAAATACGACAAGATTGTTTTTCTGTGTTAACCAGAATTCGAGGAACATAATCTTTATTAATCTAAATATTTAGGTACTACATATTTAGGTACCAAACCCATCGAATTACAATTATTGATACTTGAAATCAAGGACTTTGAAAAAAAAGGCCGACACAGTCTCTTAAAACAAACGCAGAATATACTACACACATTCAGACGAAGGACATCAGAGGTTATTTTCTTAAACACGCACACAAATAAGCCAATGACATTTAGGTGCTTCAATCATTTCTAAGCGACATAATGTCCGTCTTTTTTTCAACGACCTATACTTGGTTCACATACTTAAAATTTATTTATAATACAGATATAAGTGTTTCTTAAACATCACAGTAACTTTAACAATATCTAATTATAAAAAAATACCTGAGTCACGGTAATAATATCATAATTACCGTGTCTGAGTAAAACTATTTCATAGTAGACTAGCAGTACCCGCGACTTCGTTCGCGTGGAATAGTGATTTACTGTGCATACCCCGTATATAGCTAATGTGATAATATATAGCCTATATGTTGACGAGAGAGATCACGCCCCATGTATTCTTTTAGAAAAATATTTAATATACAATTTTGAGTTATCTACGGTTTTCTTTGTTGATGACGCGAAAGAAGTATGTAGGAATCGTAGTAATTGGCGTTCCATAGTCTCTGCCTAACTCCGTGGAAGACAGGCGTAAAGCTATGTATGTAGTTATCTATAACCAACATTGAAATTAGTCAAAGTATTTTGTAGTATTCTGGCAGTTATCGTGTTTATACAGATGTTTGACAAAATGAATCATTGTATCCATCCATATTAAATCCATGAAACTATGTCCCTGGTGTAGATTACTTATTTATGATTTCGCGAGAAATATAATCTCCCTACTTTATTTAGTACGGCCAAAGGTCAAAAGTCCACTGCCACAGTAAGACTACTATCGGTTGCGCTGCAGCGCTTATACACACACTAGCTGTTGCCCGCGACTTCGTCCGCGTAGAATAATGACTTCTGGCAGAATTTAGGCTTTTGAATTAGTTTTTATCAAGGGATATTCTACGGTAATGGATGTCGTCAGAATTGATTCAGTCCCGTAGATGATAGCGTGATAATATGTAGCCTATATGTTTACCAGACTTGTTAGTAATATTCATGCAAAATTTGAAATAGTAGTGCAGTACTTTTTGAGATCATCACGGCCATACATACAGACAAACAGACAAAAATTCTAAAAACCACATTATTGGCTTCGGTATCGATTAGAGATCACGCTTCAAATATTCTTTTAAAAAATATTCAATGTACAGTTTTGACTTTTCTACGATTTATTATATGTGTAGATAGCTGTTGCCCGCGACTTCGTCCGCGTAGATTAATGACTTCTGACAGAATTAACCAGAATCAATTCAGTGCCCAAGTAAGATTTACCTATTTTGAAATGATTTATCGTAGTTTCAATAAATAAATAATCCCGCAGGGATCTTACCAGTACAGTGCCCGATCACGTAAGGTTTGAGTAATAAAAACTATTCTATCGACTATTGTTGTACCGAATCTCTCTAGAATAAGTTCAGTGGTTAAGAGTTAGAGAGTCCTGGGGCATTGACGCATAGTTCCCGTTCTCGTGAGACATCTGTGAAAAAACTATCATACGTTACCCAGGTCCCAAATCATCGTTTTACCGAATGTAATTCAAAAAGATTCAATGATTCTAAATTCAACGGCTAAGAAGATTTATACAAACTCTCATTCCCTATTTTATCCCCTTAGGGGTGGAATTTATCAAAATCCTTTCTAAAGAGATACCTATGTCATAGTAACTTTATGCATGCAAAGTCTCAGCCCGATCAATTTAAAACTGGCAAAGTATCATACTTTGGGGTGAGAATGTTCAAAAACCTTTCTAAAGGGACGTTTACGTCATAATATCCATCTGCACGCCGAATTTCAACCCGATCGGTGTAAAACTGACAAAGCCTCACACAAACGTTCATCCCCTATTTTACCCCCTTGGTGGAAATTATCAAAATCCTTTCAAAGCGGATGCTTACGTCATAACATCTATCTGCATGCCAAATTTCAACCTGATCGGTTTAAAACTGACAAAGGCTCATATAAACTTTCATCCCCTATTTTACCCACTTGGGGGTGGAAATTATCAAAATCCTTTCACAGCGGACGCCTACGTCGTAACATCTATCTGCATGCCAAATTACAACCCGATCGGTTTAAAACTGACAAAGGCTCATATAAACTTTCATCCCCTATTTTACCCACTTGGGGGTGGAAATTATCAAAATCCTTTCATATCGGATGCTTACGTCATAACATCTATCTGCATGCCAAATTACAACCCGATCGGTTTAAAACTGACAAAGTCTCATA